CAGCCAAAAGCTGTCGAATATATTTGTATATTCGACAAAAAAGTTGTCGAATATGAATATTGTCGATTAAACAAGAAATTTCCATTATCATCATCAATTTTACATCTTCGTCAATCTTTCTGTCGATTATGTACACATTTTTGACAGAAATGTGGCTGTCGAATATAATATTGTCGCTTATACCGCGTTTTGCAGTAGTGATTATAATTGTAAATTTACAATTTGATGCAATATTATAAGTATATATCATAATTGCATATGTTTGAGATTTTTGTCGTAAGCATTATATAAATTTACAGTTTTGTTTAATATGGTTGTGGTTCCAATTTTTTTTTGTTTTATTTTTTATAATTTTGCAACTCTAAATAAAAAACATGTTTACTTTCATGTATTTGTACAACATATTATTATGATTATTAAATAAATAATTTTAATACTATTAAATAAATAAATATTTTTAGTTGTTAACGTTAAATTTTATTTTAAATAAATTTTTAATCTTTGATTTTTAGTTTTAGTTTTCAATAAATGCCAAATTTATGAAATACAAAAGGGTAATTGATTGATAGATTTTTAACACTCTAAATAGTTCAATGGATTTTGAGAAAACTGATTTAAGGCTTGCAATCATCTAGTTTATTGATCAAAATCTCTATCAATTTACAAATTGGGTAAGCAAAAACAAGTTGCCATTAAATGATTTCTCATGTTCCTTAAATTTAAAGTTTTAAATTTTATTTAACTCATTGATTATCAAAAGCTTTGCAAAACAATGTTAAACATCCCAACTCCACCCCCCACGAAACAAGTTACCAAGAAAAACATAATAGCAAAAAGGCCACAATTTGGGTTTGGGACCACATAAAATTCTACTTGAATCAATGTTTACAATCTTCTAACAAGCATATAGTTACCTAGTATTTTATAATTTGTTGTATTGTATAAATTAAGTTGTTAAGGTGAGTGTCTTTTTGCCCCATTAATCACATTTGTTTTGACTTTTTGTTACTATTTTTTCATATTTTCTATTTGCACTTGCATATTTCTCTTTTTTCCTTGAAGATGGCAAAAGGCATCATTTATAGTTTTATATATACCATACACAAACAATTTATTTATTTTTTTAATTGTGGATCTTTCACTTATTTTTAGAATTTATGTTCTTCTTCAATTGTTTTCGGGTTGCATGAATTTGACAAAAAATTTTTTTTTTTGAAAGAAATGGATGATAAGTATGTAATTCTTATTTTGAGCCTTTTATTATATTTTCATAGTTTTCCCTAATTATATTTCTTATGCATTTTGATCTATGTAGTGAACTTAAGTATATCATATTATCAAAAAAATTTGGAACATGTTCCATTATGGATATTGCTTCAAGTTCTAGGCTTTGTGGGAGGAGAAATTCCATGAGTGGTTGTTGACAAAAATAACACACAAAACATGGTGTGGAGTTTATAATTTTTTAAGGAAACATAACAATAATTCTATCATTATGAAGACCTAAGCAAACAATAGAGTTAGAAATCAAAGAAAAACAATTATAAACTATCTTAAAAAATATGCAGGGTAAACTAAGGTTAATAAAAAAGGAAGTTAATTTATAATTGTTTGTAAGTTTAGTTGACTATTTTCTTATTTTTACCTTTAAACTATCAAAATAAAGTAGTAAATTATATGTGGGGTGATATATGATCGATAAATTAACAACTGGTAAAGGAGTAGCAATGGATGACGAATGGAAAAATAGGATTTTGGCCTCCAAAATAGGGCCAAGCAACTAATAAAGGAAAAAAAGTTTGACATTTTAAATTACAGAGAAGAGTGACACAATGTGAATTTGCTATTGAGTAAAATATAATTTTATTTTACTAACACAATCCTTTTCTCTATAAAGTATTTAGCATATATTACAATTTTTCTTTTCATTGAAATTGCCATACCTTAAATTGGATAATGAAATAGTGAAGGGTTATTAAATGTTTAGCTAGGTTATTTGTATATGAAATATCTTATTTCCTTTAGTGGTAAATTAAAAAGCATAGTATAGTAATAAAATTGCCTTCTATTTTACATTATAAAGTTACTTCCTTTTTTTTGATATTTGAATACACATATTAGTAAAAATGTTTTTGTCCGTTTAATTTTTGTATGTCTTTAAAGTATATATATTTTTATTATTGTTATATTAGTAACATTAGATTTTTTTTATTAACAATTTAATATTGCTTTATTGAATGAAGAAATGGTGGACTTCATTGAAGAAATTGTAGAGCTTGAGAATTCTTTGTGCCCAAATAAGCCAATTTATCTAGTAGGTGATTCCTTTGGGAGTTGCTTAGCACCTATAGTTAGTGCTTGTCACCCCAAGATTGACTTTGTAGTGATATTAGTAAATTCAAATCAATTTTAATATTTTCAGTTTTTAATAGTTTTATCATGTAAATTTTTAGAACTAGCCATCTCAAGAAAATCCATGTATGGTTAAATTCCTTGTTCTCATGTGTACGTTGTGTTATATGAATTTAAATACCTTAAATAGATGGCTAACAAAAAAGAAAGTGTGGACCAAAGTTTAAATGTTACTAGAGTTAAGTGGGGTATGGAGCAATTCAACAAATTTGTTGATGTGTGTCTTGATGGCACCCTTCTTGATAAAAGACAAGGAAATGAATGGGGTAAAACTAGTTGGACATATATCAAAAAAAAAAAAAAAA